GTGTATACTTGAAAGAATTCCTATTCATCATCATCTTCTAGCTTTCCACACACTCACTAAGCCATTCTAGCTTTTGAAAATATCTTCCTTACAATATGGTAGAAAGTGCTTCTCTTTACCTGCAGCTCTTTTCTTCTCCTTTCTTTGTAGCAGAAAGTGTAAGTCAAACCCTCCCCGTGATAGACTTCCTGATGCTTAGCAAGGCCATGTGCCTATCACAAAGGAGCCACACCTTTACTCAGACTTGGAAGCATGTGACTTAAAATTCTCAACTGGACAACATCTTGATGGACAGACATACATGTGTTCAAAATAAGCATTGTTCCTGTTAAAGGACAATGCCTGTAGCTGTATCAGATACTCAGTAAAGAGATACAATGCTGACCAAGTAAACATAACATGCTGATTGGTATAATCAGAAGACACTATGCTATGAAAAAAAAAAGGTGAACATTCCATGATGGGAGAGGATTTGAGTAACAAAAAGATCCTCAGCTTTAACTTCCTTCATCAAGACTCTAATGGTTATAATCCAACTAAAGGCATAACTGATGTCCTGGCATCCAGGATGGCAAATTAAACCATCAAGTCTCATTCTTTACACGAAAGAACAGATTGAATCAATAATGTTTGTATCACCTGCTGCCAACACAAAGGATCTAGGGACCCGCACAGATACGGATACACACACATATGTGGGTATGTTTTTGCAAAGAAAGAGAAGCTTAATAAAAAGCAAAATTCAGCCAACTAAGAAAAACTAAATGGAATTAGTCAATTGGAAGCCATACAAAATAAATTAGAATTAATATTGAAAAGTAACAATATTTAAGAAAAACTTTTAACAAATTACCAAGTCTAGCCCTCATCCCAAGTCACCCTCACCGCACATCCCAGAGATCCTTGAAATGACCCACATCTAATTTCAAAGACTCTTGTCTGCAGCTTCCCACACTGCCGTGTAAGAGAAATAATGCTATCACTTTCATCTAACTTAGATATTTGTTTCATTTTGCCTGAAGATTCTGGCCAATGTTTTTGAAAGCACATTTAACTATACCATATGCCTCCTTAAGTCTTCCCTATCAGACAAGCTGTAGATTAAGGCTCTGCCTCGTTCAGTTCTGTTTTTCTTTCCTCACAATGTGTTTATGTATGTTTACCCCGTTTACTCTGTTCTTTTTGTCAAATTACAGGTTTGAAATCTCAACTATTCCAGAGCAGCTGTGCTATCATTGCTATCTCCCAGGACAAGGTCAGAGGGCAACCACTGTGTTGCAAGTATGTGTAATGACTGCATATCATACCTGGAGCCTACCATCTGTGGTGAGTACCAGTCAAAGAACTGTCAGGAGGCCATCCTCTTTTAACTCAAAGAAGGCGTCTTGCTACAGATAAGCAACTGACACAAATAAACTAAATAAACTACCAAAATTTTTGCTAAGGTAATTTTCTTAAGTATATGAAGTTTTGAAAAGAAAGTGTGTCCAATGAGAAAAGTTGGGAAAAAAAACCACCCCAGCTACTTCCACATTTACTTTCTTTTCTATATCCTAAGATGTTGTTCATCTTAGCCAAAATCTCTAACAAGTAAATTTTGTAAACACTGATCTCTTTCAAAGAAAGCTGCTCAAAGCCTGACTCCAGATCTGTTCAGCAAGGTTATCCGAGATAGGAGCTGCACAGGCATTTTAAATTTCTTTGTTTTGAAACCTGTTCATTAATTAAATTTGCAATCTGACAAGTTCCAAATTCATACTTACTTAGAATGCATTCTGATGATCTTTCCTCTCCCGCATCAACCCTACATATCCCTTTCCCACATTGGAGATTTTGTGACTTGTTTTTTGTAACATCAGTGTTTGAAGAGAAGACATCTTAGCTATTCTGATAAAGCAGGCTCCTAGTCCCACCTCCCAGAAAACATCCATCTTCGCCCTCATTTAAATCAAAATCCACAAGCACATTTAAAAAGAAAACATGCATCACAAAGAGGAGAAAAGAAGTAACAGAGAAGGCTAACGAGCTGAGGCCGGCGTGTGGGGTCAGCTCTGAGACCATGCATCTGTCTTTGAGGCTCTCTGTCTAGGACTACTTCACCAGTGAGTTGTTAATTATTTAGGTGAGAGAAGAGGGGGACCCATCACCACATCTGTCACCCTCACACAGGACAAGCCTCCCTTCACTGATGGGCCAGATGTGTTCATTTGAAACACAGACTAACTAGCTATTTAATGGCTTTGAATCCTTAGCCAAAAGGTAATTAGGCAAACATATTAAGCATCAGCCGCCTTACAAGGCTAAACTGTCTTGGTTCTGCTGATTTTAATTCAATCTTGTAAGAACTGGTCACCTACAAAAAGGAGAAGGCAAAGAAAATAGTCTAAGTTAGGTGTGGTGTAGGAAGTAGAAAATACAATGGTATTTCCAAGCACCCAGCATATTTACAAAATTCTCTAAAATTTTGCCTCAATGATTAACTAGAATCTGCTACATTAAATAAAACAAAACAGTACAAAAACAATTCTTTTGGATGAGTCTAGATCCTTAAACATTCTCTATCTACAAGCAAAATATCAATACCAAAAACTAAATAAACGATGTTTTTCCATACCTAATATTTGTGATTATGTGTGAAGTTTTTAAAAATCATGTATCTAAAGTATTTATCCTGTCTGCAAAGCATTAAAGAATGTCAATAGTTGCCATGTTACATTATTCAAAGGGAGGGGCCTACGGGAGAGCAGGTAGAAGTGCCTGCTGCTGGGCCTGAGGACCCAAGTTTGATCCCTGGGATACTCGTCAAGAAATGGAAGCCAAAAGACATCCTACAACCTCCACATGACCGTAGCAGACACATATGGACACATACGCATAGTACACACACATACACAGGTAGGCAAAAGTGAAAGTAAATATTTTTTAAAAGTTTAAGTACTATGGCATATGAGTATAATTTCATTTTGTAACTACATGAATAAGTAAACTCTCTTCTTTCATAATCACTTATTTTAAAGTTGCATGATTTTCTGTTCTTGCCAAAGGTATGTCACCCTAAATAAAAATTCTAACCATTTTCTCTTAGCTGATAAAGTCCCCTTCTATCAGAAATTGAATGATCTCCTTTAGCTTTGTAGTTTTATTAATAAAAAAAAATCTATTCGAGAAAAAGTGAACCACCTTTCAGCCATCAAGTGCTTAGTGATTCTGCACTATGGCAAGCACTGAGTAATGCAAGGGAGTCTACAGGAAACAAGGCTTACAGCACTTAGCCTGGCAGACAGGAAACACAATAACCATGAAGGATTTGGAAGACAATAAGGGGATATGTAAAGGGAATGAGGAGGCTGCTGAGTCAGAGTAACTATAGAGGGTTCCCCTCTTGGGAAGGTGACATCTGAACAGGATTTACGGAGATAAGAGAACATCATTCCAAGCAGAGGGATGAACAAGTAGGACAGTACTGACAGAAGTGTTCGCTGATGGGGTTAAGAGAGAAAAGGGGGACAGTGGTGTGCCTATAGCTGAACAGAGAAGCAATGAAGAGACCAGGCCTGGACAGTGAAGGTTTGAGCTCTATAGAAACTTAGGGAACCTGTCAGTTCTCCGTTACCTTTGTGTGGGATGAAGAACATATCCCTAACAATCCAACCTAGAGAAGTATCACAAGCCTATCTATTCCTGTAGGATCACTAAAGTCAAAGGTAGAAACAGAAAGACCAACAAACAGATTAATGATTTTGGCACGACTCAACATGGATTTTGCCCAGATAGAGCAAGCTGATATTGAATGTTATGGTCCAAAATTAGTGCTGAGTGAGTTCAAGATAAGCTGTGCATGAAATAAGAATGAATCAATTATAATTTTTAATTTGAAGGCTTTTTAATCTGAATGACAAAGAAAAAAGATGTTATAATCAATGGGAAGACTAGAAAATATACTTTGGGGACAGACTGAGGTAAGAGGCATGAAGGTAACCAACCAACATGAAACTCCAAGTTCAATTAAACAAGTCTAAACTTCAGTGGTTTGTCATGCTACTACAATAAGATCACCGAAGTCTACTGTATACTTGGGGCAAAATGATGTCATGAGAAACCAAACTATCATAAAGCCCAATGCCTGTCTAAAGCAACCATGGACAGTCCATCTCTGGTACTAGATTATGAGGCATAACATACACACACACACACACACACACACACACACACACACACACACAATGAATAATAGTCTAAGTTCTGAAGTTATAAAATATAGCCCTTTCAATCTATTTAAAATACAAAAATGAAATTGTTAGATTTTTTGCATAACTGGAAATGCTATCCAATAACTATATTGAATACTTTCAAAAAAAACAAGTACTCGTGCTGACAGTAAAATACAAAAACTACTCTCTTTGATTCCATCAAGGAAAAGATAATCTTTACTGTGTGAACACTGTTTTTGACCTGATATTACACTTTCAGTGTTTACTATGTTTACACTCAATGGTAAATATCAGCATTAAGTAATTCCATCAGCTGGGTCAGCACTATGAACAATTGCACACTAATGTCAAAGTAGAGAGCATCTCAACATTTTAGAATTATTTGCTTCATATTAAGGGGTAAAAGAAATAAATCAGATAGAAATACTGTTTCTTGGTTTTGGGTACCTTGTACTCAAAAGACAAAATAAGCAAACAAAACTACCAATATATAATTGTTGTTTTATAGGAAATATGTTGTATTGGTTATATTTTATGTGGTTTGGTTTGGTTGTTATTTGTTTTTAATCAGTGAAGAAAGGCTTTTATGTGAGGATACACAGACACAGACACAGACACGGGGGGGGGGTGAGACAGAGGAGGGAAGGAGAGAGAGAGAAAGAGAGAGAGAGAGAGAGAGAGAGAGAGAGAGAGAGAGAGAGAGAGAGAGAGACCCTCACAGAGCAGAGCAGTAACCAGTCACACAGGAGCCAGAACTCCATGTTGAGTTGTCTTTGGTGACGGACTTACTCTCCAGCTTTGTTCAGGACAGGTGCAGGGCAAAGGATGGAACTGGGCTGAACACTCACTGGTTTTTCACCTAAAATACAGAATATCATTCAGTAAATAATGAGTTGCACATCACTAATACAGTCTCATTCTTAAAGCATCATATAGTCTACAATAAGAACTCAGGTGGGGAATATGAGAAAGGTCAACAGTAACATATATTTGAAGCCTAAAGAGGCAAAAGAAAGAAAATAAAAAAAAATGAAGTTACAAAATCTTGATACAAAAATATGGTAAATCAAAGTTAGATTTATTAGCTAAGATAGTAATATAAATATAACTTTTATCCTGAATGTTTCAAATACCTCAGCCCTTCAAGGGTAAATTAGATATTATTTCTAAGAAGCAAAATTTAGAATGGATGAACAAAGGAAAACTAGGACCTAAGTATAAATGAATTTATCTTGTAGGTTGTCAAGATAGCTGTCTCTACAACATATAAGCACACCTTTAACAAGCTGGATGCTTACACTCCCTTAGAGTTTTAACAGTATGTATGAGAATTCATGAAGGAGTGGAATTATTGAAGAAATTTACATAAGCAAATAGATCATCTCGAATGTGAATAATGAAAATACTCTTCCACCTCCATCTATTTGAGAATTGAATTCAATAAACTGAATCTTATCAATGTCTGTATTATAATCAAGTCAAATGTGCAATCAAAAGGAGTCACATAAACCCAGCACTTTCATACTAATAACTGCTGAACAGAAATAAAGTTAGGCTTTCCTGTTCAATTGTGTAATTTGTTATGCAGTTTTTACAAATATCATTTTGCCTTAACAAATGGTGTTTCTCATACCGAGAAGAGAGAGTACTGACCACATTTACTAAGCTGAGATGCTCATTACTTCGATTCAACAAGCACATACTGACAGTTTGCTATGTGGCCAAAACTATGATAATACCATCAAACAAACAGCAGAGTTATATAGATAAGTCTCTTTAAAACAGCTCAACCAGAGTTCATAGATTTTAGAGGCCAAAATAAATACCCTTTGACTGAAAAGACCATTCTACTATCGAACCAACATACTCAGGAAAGATGGGCTGAGAACCCTGGAGGCATAAAAGGCCAACAGCACAAAACAACGACGACAACAACAACAAAAACCCCAAATGACAAGAAAAGAAACTCTTCAAGAAACTGAAAAGTTACTTGACATTAAGTATTGAGAAGAAATGGCAAAATCCAACAATAACACTAGGGGAACAGGTAGTGAAGCCATCTGACACAACTGCATTTTAAGGCAAGAGTAGTAAAATATAAGTCTTGACAAAGGGCAATTTGATCACATGATTGATGTGGTTAGTCCAAAACCTAGATTCAGGTACTTTAACTTTAAGCTCTGCCTGTTATTAGCTGTTTCACCACAGGAGGGTGATTCATACATCAAAGACCATCTTCTGAATAATGATGTTACTGAGAACAGGGTCTAGTGTTTCTTAAGTCATGAACAATTGTTGCCTCTACTAAATAATTGTTGTTATTTGTATTATTATTATGGAAGATTCCTGTTTTTTTCTCCAATGAAAAACTGTAGCATAGCTGATTTTAATTTAATGAGAAAAAGAGAAAGAGAGAGAGAGAGAGAGAGAGAGAGAGAAAGAAAGAGAGAACAGAGGGAGGGAGGGAGGGAGGGAA